TTTGTTTTAATTGGCTTGCATCTGCTTTAGTTTTAGCTATTTTGACAAGGTGCCTGCTACATGGAAAGCCCCAGGATCCCCAGCCCACATCAGCCACAGGTCCAGGAAGCCAGCAAAAGTCACCAGGCGCACACACAATCTACACTGGGGACAATCATACACAAGGTTGTTCCTTCAAGTTTAGGAGAAGTCACTCTTCTGCCAGATTCATAAAAACAAACACAGAAAGTCAAGCAAAATAGGGAGACAGAAAAATATGCTCTAAAAGAAAAAAAAAACTCAGAAAAAGAGCAAAATTAAATGGAGATAAGCAATATGCCTGATAAAGAATTTAAAGTAATGATAGTAAAGATACAGACTGGAGAGAAGAGTGGAAGAACTCAGTGACACTTTCAATAAAGAGATAGAAAACACAAAAAAGGACCAGTGTGGAGGGTATTATGCTGAGCAAAATAAGTCAACCAGAGAAAGACAATTATCATACAGTTTCATGTATATGTGGAATATAAGAAACAGGGTAGAGGACAATAGGGGAAGGGAGGGAAAACAGAATGGGAAGTCATCAGGGAGGGAGAAAAACCATGAGAGACTCTTAACTATTGGAAACAAACTGGGGGTTGCTGGAGGGGAGGTGGGTGGGGGGACGGGGTAATTGGGTGATGGGCATTAAGGAGGGCACCTGATGTGATGAGCACTAGGTGTTACACAAAACTGATAAATTATTGAACACTACATCTAAAACTAATGATGTACTATAAGCTGGTTAACTGAATTTAAATTTAAAAAAGAATCAGAGTTGAAGAATATAACAACTGAAATAAAAAACACATGAGAGGAAATCAATAGTAGATTAGGGGATGCAGAAGAACATATCAGTGATCTGGAAGACAGGGTAATGGAAAGCCCCCAAGCTGAACAGCAAAAGGGGAAAATAATTTTTTAAAAATGAGGATAGGTCAGGTCACCTGGGTGGCTCAGTCAGTTAGGCATCTGACTCGATTTTGGCTTAGGTCATGATCTCAGTGTAGTAAGGTTGAGCCCTGCATTGGGTTCTGTGCTTAAGCAGGGTGGAGCATGCTTAAGATTCTCCCTCTAAAAAGAAAAGAAAAAGAAAAAAAAAAGAAATTAGGGAAGAACTAAATAAATGGAAACTATCCCATGTTAGTGAGGTAGGAAGATGTAATATTAGGAATAAGTCAGTAGTACTTAATGCAATCTATAGTTTTTTTGAAATCCCTATCAAAATCCGGCATTGTTTTTTGCAAAAATGAAAAAGCTGAACTTCAGATTCAGATGAGATTGCATGGGGATCCAAATAGTCAAACAGTTTTGAAAAAGAAGAATAAATTCAGAGAACTTATGTTTCCTGGCTTCAGAATTACTACCGAGTTACAGTAAATGATTACTATGGTTTTGGCATATGGATAGACATATAAATCACTGTAGTAGAACTGAGAGTCCAGAAGTAAACTCATACATTTATAGCCAACTGACTTTTGAACAAGGGTGCCAAGGGCATTCAATGTGGAAAGAACATGTTCTTCAGCAAATGGCATTGAACTGAATTTTCACATAAAATAGAATGAAGTTTACAGAGGGATACCAGCTCACACCAGTCAAATTGGCTAAAATTAAAAAGTCGGGAAACAATAGGTGTTGGTGAGGATGTGGAGAAAGGGGAGCCCTCCTACACTGTTGGTGGGAATGCAAGTTGGTCCGACCACTCTGGAAAACAGTATGGAGTTCCTTAAAAAGTTGATAATGGAGCTAACCTATGACCCAGCTATTGCACTAGTAGGTATTTACCACAAAGATATAAATGCAGTGATCCAAAGGGACATATGCACCTCAATGTTTATAGCAGGAATGTTCACGATAGCCAAACTATGGAAAGGGCTCAGATGTCCATCAACAGATGAATGGATGAAGAAGATGTGGTATATATATACAAGGAAATATTATGCAGCCATCAAAACCCATGAAATCTTGCCATTTGCAATGCCGTGGATGGAACTAGAGGGTACTATGCTAAGCGAAATAAGTCGATCAGAGAAAGACAATTATCATATGGTCTCACTGATTTGAGGAATCTGAAAACAAGACAGAGGCTATTAGGGGAAGGGAAGGAAAAATGAAACAAGATGAAACCAGAGAGGGAGACAAAACATAAGAGACTCTTAATCTCAGGAAACAAACTGAGGGTTGCTGGAGTGGAGAAGGGAGGGATGGGGTAGCTGGGTGATGGACACTGGAGAGGGTATGTGCTATGGTGAGCGCTGTGAGTTGTGTAATATTGATGAATCACAGACCTCTACCTCCAAAACAAATAATACATTATATGTCAATAAAAAAATAGAATCAGGGGCGCTTGGGTGGCTCAGTGGGTTAAGCCGCTGCCTTCAGCTCAGGTCATGATCTCAGGGTCCTGGGATCGAGTCCTGCATCGGGCTCTCTGCTCGGCGGGGAGCCTGCTTCCCTCTCTCTCTCTGCCTGCCTCTCTGTCTACTTGTGATCTTGGTCTGTCAAATAAATAAATAAAATCTTGAAAAAAAAAAAAAAAGAATCAGATTTATCCCTACCTGATGTTCTATGCAAAAATTAGCTCTAAATGAATCAATGATCTATAAAATTCTTAAAATAAAGCATAGAAATAAATGTTTACAACCTTGTATTTGGCAATGACTCTTAGACCCCCCAAGAGCACAAACAACAAAAGAAAAATAGGTAGATTGGATTTCATAAAAATTAACATTGTCATTATCAAGAGAGTTAGAAGACAACCTACAAATCAGTGAAAATATTTGCAAATCATATATCTGAAAAGGGCTTAATATCCAGAATACATAAAGAACACCTACAACTCAACAACAAGATGATAAATCATAAAAAATAAAAAATAAAAATATAAAATAAAAAAATAAAAAATAAAAAATCAGTGAAGATCTTGAATAGATATGTGGAGAAATTGAAACCCTTGTGCATTGATGTTGAGAACAGAAAGTGGTCAAGCCACTGTGGAAGACAGTTCAAAAATCTAAACAGAATTGCCATATGAACCAGCAATTCCCTTCCTAGGTGTATACTATAAAAAATTGAAAACAGGGACTTCAACAGGTAGTTGTACACTGATGTTCAGGACAGCATTACTTATATAGCCAAAGGTTAAACAATTCAAGTATCCATCAACAGATTAATGGATAAACAAATATTATATATATATACATATATATATAATATATATTATTATATATACACATATATATGTATATATAATATATAATATATAATATATACACACACACATATATATGTATATATATATAAATGCTATATTATTCATCCAGAAAAAAGAATGGCATAGGTACAACACAAACAAACGTCAAAACAGTCATGCTAACTGAACTAAGACAGGCACAGAAGGACAAATGTAAGCATTGCCTTCTGTGAAATAGCTAGACTAGGCAAATTAGTGGAGACAGAAGGTAGTTTAGAGATTACTAGAAGGAAGAGAGGGAAGGGAAGAATGAGTAGTTGTTGCTTAATGTTTATAAAGATTTTTGTCTAGGGTGATGAAAATGGAAATAGTCATGATCGTGAAATATGATGAATGTAATTAACCACTGAATTGTACATCTGCAAAAGATTAAAATGGCAACTTTTGTATTATATATATCTTACCACAATACATATATTGAAAACTGTCTCCAACTATCATTGTGAATTATATTTCAGATTTTGTCAATTTTGATTCATGTGCTTTGTAATTTTTTGAGTGTATATACATTTGACATTTTCAGTATTATTTCTGCAAATGTATTCTGTTTTGAAATTCATTTTATTTGATATTAATATAAAGACTGCGGTGTTCTTCTTTTTGCTATATAAATTGTATATCTTTTTCTATCACTGTACTTTCACCCTACAGTATTTTAAGTACGATTATTGACAGTGTATATATATATTTTTTAACCTATTCTGGTAATCTCTATTATTTGATAGACTGGGCTATTAGCAATACATTTGGTTGTGATTGTTGTTATGGGTTTGTTTCAGTCTACCATTTTATTTATTTATTTTTTGTTTTCTGTCTTATTTCTTGGGTGATGATAATGATTATGATGTGGGATCACTTGTTGTTTTCATTCCTATGTTTCACACCTTTTGCCTTTTTGGGGGAATTATTTGAATATTTTTGGAATTCTTTTTCAAATATTGCAGAGGAATTCCTAATCCTCAACTTTGTCCATATATTTTTCTTACTGAGCATGTAGACGAGCATATTTTATTTAGTCCCACTTGTTCCCACTAAGACTCCATTTTCTTGATGCCTAATGATTCACAGAGTTTCCTTTTCTTTGTCCTTCATGTTTCTCCCTTCAGTCTACATCTCATGTAATTCTTTCCTCTGAGAAATTTCTATAATTTTCTTTCTATGAGCTGTGGCACTCTTACATTCTGTTCTAGATAAAGCATGTTGCTTGAGGCCTATATATCCAGATTTAACAGAGAGTCACTCTTACACAACCGTTAAGCAACTTTGATTGTTCCACTGATTTGACAATCAGTTCCGTATCAGTTTAACCTTAACCTGTATGGTCCTAGAGACCCAAGTACACAGTTAGCTCTCCTGTGTTCTAGACAATTGACAGACTCTCTACTATGCTAAATACGTATGACAGTACAATGGATGCTCATAGTATATTACAATTTCCAGTATTTTTTCTTTTTTATATGTTATCACTTGGTATGAAAGGCCTCCTGGTGATTGAATAATGAAGTTTTGTTACTGTTTGTCTACATTATGAACACAGATATTATTTTTGAGATTTCTGTTGTTTTAGCTCTTCATTTGTCAAACTCTCAGGTACAAAGAATCACTTGTTAAAATATTCTCTAAATTTCAGAATATGCTTTTGGTTTTCTTAATTTTTGTTTTTGGTTTTTTTTTTTCTGCACAAATTCTCATTGCTCCCATAATCTAATCTGACTCTGTTTCTTAGGTTTGGGAGAAAGTTGATTCACAGGTGGTGTCTCCTACAGCTTACCATCGTTGGGACCAGTGCAGCTTTTGTTTCCAACTTCCACATTTACTGCTTACTACGCTTCTTGTCTGGCTGTTCTTCCATCATCATCCTGGCAAATGACGGTATGCTCAGTAAGTCAACAATTTTGTTCTTCTCCCTTATCCAAGCCTTGAATTTGACCTTGAACTTTCACCTTTATCTGACATTAATATCCCAATTGGGTTTTCTTTCAGTCACAGAGTGGGTAAGGCCTCCATCTAAAGTAATGGCAATAACAGTGATATCTTGTGCCCTCAGTGTGGGACACATACTCTTGGGAGGACTGGCATTTGTCTTTCGAGAGTGGCGCACTCTGCAGCTGGTGGTGTCTGTATCTTTCCTTTTCTTCTTTTTCTCCTCCAGGTATGAGCCTTCTTTCTCATTTTGCCTTATGGGAACCTGGGACAAAAATGAGGAGAGATTATGCTGAGTGAAATAAGTCAAGCAGAGAGAGTCAATTATCATATGGTTTCACTTATTTGTGGAGCATAACAAATAGCATGGAGGACATGGGGAGTTAGGAGAAGGGGAGGTGAACAATGAGAGACTATGGACTCTGAAAAACAATCTGAAGGGTTTGAAGAGGTGGGGGGGTGGGAGGTTGGGGGAACCAGGTGGTGGGTATTAGAGAGGGCACAGATTGCATGGAGCACTGGGTGTGGTACAGAAACAATGAATACTGTTATGCTGAAAATAAATTAAAAAAATGATTATAAAAAAATGAGGACTGAATTGCAATATATTGATTTTCTTATTTCCTGGACCCTTTCTTATTGTCTGGACCTAAAATCCATGCCTTTCATCTGTTCAGTCTGTGCAGTTTCATAAGCAGAACAGGAAGTAATAAGGACCTTTCTGTCTGGGAGTCCTAGGTATTTTTGGTTTTGTTTTGCTTTCAGTCCTACCCAGTATAGTGGTCATAGAGTTATTCCAGTATTATTTTTCTTAATATAAAATATAGACTCAAATATTTCAAAAATAAATTCTTTTAATTCTTTTTTTTTTTTGGCTTTTGAGTAAATCAAGTTATGGTAGTTTTCAGATTTTCATTTTTGTAGGTGAAGTTGAATAAAAGGAAGAGGCAGCAAATTTATTCATAAAAGATCAGCAAGGTTTCTTTAGTACTAAAGTTTGGCATGCAGATTGGCTGATTGACATCAAATGTTCAGCACTCCCTTCTCCCTTAAATAATTTTAACAAACATTTATTTATGGGTAACTTCATTCCTGTACTTAAAACCATCTAAAGGAGAGTCAGGTTTAGTTCATCATGGAGACACACTATAGATTTCATACAATGAGAGGAGTTCAGAGACAGAGGAGAATGTAATCCATGCCAGACTCATCCATTATACCATTATATCCTCATAATAATCCTACAAGGAAGATGGTACTACTGCCCCCATTTTATTGATGAAAAAACTGAGGCAGATGTAAATAAGTGACTGACTTACATAGTAAGTTACCAACATAGCTGGTAGTGGCAGGAGTACTTTTTTGTTGGGTTTTACATTTACATTATTTAGGGACTTATTTTTTTTAAAGACTGTATATTATGAGCACAAATTTGGTAGAACCAAATTATGCATGAGGAACTCTCAAGCTTAAGCTTCCTATGCTTCTTTGAAAATCTGCTGAGTAAGTAGACAGGCGAGTTGCCTCCAGAGTCTATGTTTCTGACCATAAAGATATACTGCAATGGACTGGTCTTTCTTATATTTTCCTAGTATTTGTGAATTAAAACTTGAGTTTCTATTCCTAACCCAAGAAGTGGTGGATATTAGATGGAAGGCAAAAAGCATCCATAGTCAATAATCATATGACAAGTAAGCAAGAGAGACTTGACTGCACTTGTGTGCTCTTCTTCCTTCAGGTGGCTGGTGGAATCTGCTTGGTGGCTGATTGTCAACAATAAACCAGAGGAGGGTTTGGAGGCACTAAGAAAAGTTGCATACACAAATGGAATGCAGAATGCTGGAGATGCCCTGACCATGGAGGTGAGTAGGAAACAGAAGGTGGTTACCGGGTTAGGAGGAAGACTAAGCAGACTCCACCTTCTTCCTCTTCCTCTTCCTCTTCCTCTTCCTCTTCCTCTTCCTCTTCTTCTTCTTCTTCTTCTTCTTCTTCTTCTTCTTCTTCTTCTTCTTCTTCTTCTTCTCCTTCTCCTTCTCCTTCTCCTTCTTCTTCTTCTCCTTCTTCTCCTTCTTCTTCTCCTTCTTCCTCTTCTTCTTCCTCTTCTTCCTCTTCTCCTTCTTCTCCTTCTCCTCCTCCTCTTCCTCCTCCTTCTTCTTCTTCCTTTCTTTTTTTAAAAGATTTTATTTATTTATTTGACAGAGATCACAAGTAGGCAGAGAGGCAGGCAGAGAGAGAGGAAGGGAAGCATGTTCCCCGCTGAGCAGAGAGCCTGATGCAGGGCTCCATCCCAGGACCCTGAGATCATGACCTGAGCTGAAGGCAGAGGCTTAACCCACTGAGCCACCCAGGTGCCCCTCCACCTACTTCTTATTGAGATAGACAAACTGTTTTCCTATAAGGGACAGCCAAGAAGGCGAGCTCGGTTCCCTAGTCTTTCATGGCCACCTTACACAGAAGCTGCTTTGAGCACTGTGCAACCCATCTCTTCCTTTAGTTCACTTCTTGATCTAAATCTATAACCTATAACTCTTGTGGATGACCTGCACCTCTCCGTGGCCTCCTTTCCTTTCCTTTTTTTCTCTTTCTTTTTTCCAATTTTTATTTAAATTTTGGTTAGTTAAAATATAGTGTAATTTTGGTTTCAGGAGTGCAATTTACTGATTCATATGACACCCAGTGCTCAACACAACAAATGCCCTCCTTTAATATCATTTTTGCTGCCAAGGTCAAAGAGATTGCTGCCTGTGTTCTCCTCTAGGATTTTGATGGATTCCTGTCTCACATTCAGGTCTTTCATCCATTTTAAGTTTATTTTTGTGTAGGATATAAGAGAATGGTCCAGTTTCATTCTTCTGCATGTGGCTGTTTAATGTTCCCAGCACCATTTATTGAAGAGACTGTCTTTTTTCCATTGGATATTCTTTCCTGTTTTGTTAAAGGTTGTTTGACCTCAGAGTTGAGGTTCCATTTCTGGGCTCTCTCTTCTGTTTCATTGATCTGTGTATTTGTTTTTATTGAAATTTCCTATTTACAAGGATGTGGATGGACCTAGAAGGTATTATGCTAAGTGAAATAAGTCCATCAGAGAAAGACAAAGACCATATGATTTCACTCATATGTGGAATTTAAGAAACAAAACAGATGAACATAGGGGAAGGGAAGGGAAACTAAAATGAGATGAAGATTGAGAGGGAGGCAAACCATAAGAGACTCTGAACCCTAGGAAACAAACTGAGGGCTGCTGGAGGGAGGTGGGTAGGGGGTAGGGATAACTGGATGAAAGGCATTAAGGAGGGCAGTTGATGTAATGAGCATTGGGTGTTCTATGCAACTGATGAATCACTAAATTCTATGTATGAAATTAATACAAAATATCACTTTGGTGTTTAATATCCTTGAGTCTTCTTTAACTCTTTACATCTTCTTTCATAGCCCGTTCACACCTGTGATTGCATGTACAATAAGTTATGCTGGAAAGAAAGGGAGTGTATCTCTCCTGTCCTGTTGGGTGCTGGTGCTCACCACAATGCCTGACACCATGTTGACAAATGAAACATGTCTGTTGCTATTAAAGGGTTTGAGATCCAGCATGCAGGACGAGCTGGAGGCAGCACAGACCAAAGTTACCATTTGGGATTTGTTCCACACCTCCATCCTGTGTAAGAGAACCTGTATCCTACTATTTGTGAGGTGGGTTTCACAGAGTGCATGACAACCTCAAAAAGGGGGAGACACGAATCTATTTATTTCAAAGGTTCTAGCAGTGTTGTGGGTGCAGGGTGTGCTGATTTGAAGATAAAAGTTGAGGAAAACAGACTAGATACTGCTGCGCTGGGAGATGGGCAAAAGGTTATAAAGAGACTCACCATATGATGAGGAATTAATTGCATCATATTGCTCCATTCTCATCCCTGGAGACTGATGCTGGGGCTTCCACGACAATACAGATTTTGACATTTAGTTTCCTTCACTTTTTCTTACAATTTTCCCAAATTTTTATTTAAATTATAGTTAGTTGACATGCAGTGTAATAAAATCTTACTAGCAGTAATATGAAGAGATTGTGAATATATACAGCTTGATAAACATATCAATGGGGAAAAATATAAGCAGCCCCTAGATCAAGATAGAAATTCTAATTCCCCAGAGAGTCCCCTCATAGATCCCCTGCAGTGAGAACCACCAGGACACTGGGTCAGCTCTCATTCCCTCCTCACTGTCTGCTTGCATGCCACATAAAACTTACCAACAGTCCTGCTCCCCATTACCACAGAGGTGTGTTGCCTAGTCTTGACTTTCACATGATAATTTGTAGATCCCCGGTGGGAACCTGTGATTATATTTCCTATGGTACAGCTGGTACATGTTTTCTTGAATTCTGACATTTTCTCTTAGTCCTAGAAAATCATATATGAGCCTTAAATTCCCTAAAACTGTGCCAGACCTCAGGACAAGGTGCCCCCCAGATAAAGGGGGACACAGGTAATCTCTTCGCAGCTTCCGTCATTAGTTGACCAATTTGAGCAAGAACTAGTTGAGTTCTTCACAGTATTGGGGTTGAAGGAGAGGGAGGACTCACAGCATCCTGACGACACTCAAAAAAGAAATTCTTCTCCCTAGATTTTAATCTTTGTATCATCCAGTTTGGTGATTGGGACAGGTTAAGTTTCCCAGTCATTGCCAACTCTTCGCTTAGGGACTCAGACGAAATAACAACAAAAGGAGTATTGTCTATATATATTGCCAGACAATTATTTATGGTAACTTTAAAATTATCCTTAAAATAATGAATTATACAAATCAGACTAGGTCTTTATTCTTTAACACCAATCACTAGCTGTCTGGGTTAATGTAGACATCAACTGCAACACGTAGGCTTTAAATCTTATGGCATGTGTCTTTCCTCCTTTGTTCATTACAGATGTGCAATCACAATACCCTTTTATGGCATTATGATCAATCTACAGCACCTTGGGAACAATATTTTCCTGTTCCAGGCGGTCTTTGGGGTCCTCACTGCCATTGTCCGATGTCTTTCTCTTTTAGAACAGAATCATATGGGCCATCGAACAACTCAGACACTTTTCATGTTCCTGGTGGGACTTTGTTTTGGTCAACACGTTTGTGCCCCAAGGTGAGAGAAGGCTGGACTGTAGGGGAAAGAGGTGTCTTTTCCCCCATCCTCTAGGGATTGTACTGGTCACACTTGTCTGAAGCAAGGAGTAAAAAGTGCCAATTAAGAGCTAAGCATTCCCCCAAACTGATCTGAGGGTTTAAGGTAAATCCTGCTAAGAATTTGTTGGGAAAAGAGTCAAAGGTCCATAAGGGGCAGCTCAGACATTTCTTTTCGTGACATCCTGGAAGTATCTAGAAACTGGTCTTTATTCCTGACAGTTTCTTCAGGATAGCAATTGATCACTTGCCTTTTGGCCTTTCACATTTTTAGTAACAAGCATGAAGGGCCTAGGTTTTGCAATTATATCTCAGGTGAGGACACAATGTGGTCACTTGTTCTGGTTGGGCTCTTGTCACCAGCTTTGAAGACTAGTCAATTTCCTGATTGCTCTGTATCCACATGTGTGTGTATGGTCTTAGGTCACCACAACAATAGCCCTTGCTTTTGGGAGTCTTCTTGACTTCCAGGAAATGAAAAATTTCCCTTTTTTCAAGTAGTGAAGGAGTGTACAATAGGAACAGGGAATTAAATTAAGCAGATTAGAAGTCTAGTCCATTCCAGTTAGATGACTTTGTATGTTAATAGAATGATGGTATGTAATGACCAGGAGATCCTTACTGGGCATTATGGTTCAGCTATATCCCAGTGCAGGAATGTACCCTACAGCATTACAGATTGTGGACTCTACTCCTCAGAATATCATTAATGATACAGGCTTAATCCCTTACGATAGAGTCTTTTCTAACAGTATAAAGCTATAATTAGATTTCTTTTCATATTATTTGAAACTTTTCTTTATTGGTTCCCAAATTCTGACATTTTTTTTCCCAAATAGAAGTTTCCATTCTTGGTTTCATAAGAACCTGGGATCTTCCTGGTTTTATCAATGAAAATCCCTATTGCTAAAATCCCCTAATTCCCAGGAAAACCAGGATGACTTGTCACTTTAAATTCTGCACCTTTATTTTAAAGTTTAGACAACTGTAAAGTTGTCAAGTTTAGAGCTAAATCTTAGACCCAGTAATTGTCCACAGGACTGTCCCACCTTCTGCAATAGGGCTGTAATACTGGGAAGAATTAGTAAAAGCAAATTTCTGCCAGATTCAACTCTTCATCTCCTTCTTTAGAAAATCTAAAGATTTTCAGGTGTGTAGAGAGATTCGCTGCAATTAACCCAGGTAATTTTATGTGCTTTTTAGCACCTACATTGACAACTCTACATTTCTCAGTTTATCAACCTCCCCACTCTCTCTGGCACTATAAAATTTTCTATAGTATAGCTTAAACAAACCCACACCATACAAGGTGGGTTTATTTGTTTTTTTGTTTTTTTCCTGGCTAAATTTGGTGGATGCTGATTCCTTCAGCCCAGATTTCTTAGTCTCACTGGCCTTTCTGTCTCCAGAAATGCAGACCCTGTGTGTGGCTTTGGCAAGCATGGGAATCAGCTGTGCTGCTGCTTCTGTCACTAGTTTTTCTGTCCACATTTTTGAGCTCATCCCCACAGTCCTCAGGTATGATTTTTTGGACATTCTGCCAAGGCATGAAAGAGGACATTCTCAGTTAATAGGCATTTATTGCAAGAATAAACACAATAAAGCTTATTTTTAAAATTAAATTTATTTTTTTTCTTTCTTGCTCACTTTATTTATTTATTTATTTATTTATTTATTTATTTATTTATTATAAACATATAATATATTTTTATCCCCAGGGGTACAGGTCTGTGAATTGCCAGGTTCACACACTTCACAGCACTCACCTTAGCACATACACTCCCCAATGTCCATAACCACACCCCTCTTCTCCCAACGCCCCTCCCCCCAGCAACCCTCAGTCTGTTTTTTGAGATTGAGTTTTTTACGGTTTGTCTCCCTCCCAATCCCACCTTCTTTCATTTTTTCTTTTCCTACCCCCCAATCCCCCCACATTGCATCTCCACTTCTTCATATCAGGGAGATCATATGATAGTTATCTTTCTGTGATTGATACTCTCTAGTTCATCCACGTCATCGCAAATGGCAAGATTTCATTTCTTTTGATGGCTGCATAGTATTCCATTGTGTATATATACCATATCTTCTTTATCCATTCATCTATTGATGGACATCTAGGTTCTTTCCATAGTTTGGCTATTGTGGACATTGCTGCTATAAACATTCAGGTGCACGTGCCCCTTCCGAGCACCACGTTTGTATCTTTAGTATATATACCCAGTAGTGCAATCACTGGGTCATAGGGTAGTTCTATTTTCAACATTTTGAGGTACCTCCATGCTGTTTTTCAGAGTGGCTGCACCGGCTTGCATTCCCACCAACAGTGTAGGAGGGTTCCCCTCTCTCCGCATCCTCGCCAGCATCTGTCATTTCTTGACTTGTTAATTTTAGCCATTCTGATTGGTGTGAGGTGGTATATCATTGTGGTTTTGATTTGTATTTCCCTGATGTCGAATGATGTGGAGCATTTTTTAATGTGTCTGTTGGCCATCTGGATATCTTCTTTGCAGAAATGTCTGTTCACGTCCTCTGACCCTTTCTTGATTGGATTATTTGTTCTTTGGTGTTGAGTTTGCTAAGCTCTTTATAGATTTTGGATACTAGCCCTTTATCTGATATGTCATTTGCAAATATCTTCTCCCATTCTGTCAGTTGACTTTTGGTTTTGTTAACTGTTTCCTTTGTTGTGCAAAAGCTTTTGATCTTGATGAGATCCCAATAGTTCACTTTTGCCCTTGCTTCTGTTGTCTTTGGCGATGTTCCTAGGAAGAAGTTGCTGCAGTTGAGGTCAGAGAGGTTGCTGCCTGTGTTCTTCTCAAGGATTTTGATGGATTCCTTTCTCACATTGAGGTTCTTCATCCATTTTGAGTCTATTTTCATGTGTGGTGTAAGGAAATAGTCCAATTTCATTTTTCTGCATGTGGCTGTCCAATTTTCCCAGCACCATTTGTTGAAGAGGCTGTCTTTTTTTCCATTGGACATTCCTTCCTGCTTTGTTGAAGATTAGTTGACCATAGAGTTGAGGGTCTATTTCTGGGCTCTCTATTCTGTTCCATTGATCTATGTGTCTGTTTTTGTGCCAGTACCATACTGTCTTGATGATGACAGCTTTAATATAGAGCTTGAAGTCTGGAATTGTGATGCCACTAACTTTTGCTTTCTTTTTCAATATTCCTTTGGTTATTCTAGGTCTTTTCTGGTTCTATATAAATTTTAGGATTGTTTGTTCTATTTCTTTGAAAAAAAATGGATGGGATTTTGATAGGGGTTGCATTAAATGTGTAGATTGCTTTAGGTAGAATAGACATTTTCACAATATTTATTCTTCCAATCCATGAGCATGGAACATTTTTCCATTTCTTTGTGTCTTCCTCAATTTCTTTCAAGAGTACTTTATAGTTTTCTGAGTTTAGATTCTTTGCCTCTTTGGTTAGGTTTATTCCTAGGTATCTTAGGGTTTTGGGTGCAATTGTAAATGGGACTGACTCCTTAATTTCTCTTTCTTCTGTCTTGTTGTTAGTGTAAAGAAATGCAACTGATTTCTGTGCATTGACTTTATATCCTGACACTTTACTGAATTCCTGTACAAGCTCTAGCAGATTTGGAGTGGAGTCTTTTGGGTTTTCCACATGTAGTATCATATCATCTGCAAAGAGTGATAGTTTGACTTCTTCTTTGCCGATTTGGACGCCTTTAATTTCTTTTTGTTGTCTGATTGCTGAGGCTAGGACTTCTAGTACTATGTTGAACAGCAGTGGTGATAACGGACATCCTTGCCGTGTTCCTGACCTTAGCGGAAAAGCTTTCAGTTTTTCTCCATTGAGAATGATATTTGCAGTGGGTTTTTCATAGATGGCTTTGATAATATTGAGGTATGTGCCCTCTATCCCTACACTTTGAAGAGTTTTAATCAGGAAGGGATGCTGCACTTTGTCAAATGCTTTTTCAGCATCTATTGAGAGTATCATATGGTTCTTGTTCTTTCTTTTATTAATGTATCTCATTGATTGATTTGCAGATGTTGAACCAACCTTGCAGCCCTGGAATAAATCCCACTTGGTCGTGGTGAATAATCCTTTTAATGTACTGTTGGATTCTATTGGCCAGTATTTTGGTGAGAATTTTCGCATCTGTGTTCATCAAGGATATTGGTCTGTAATTCTCTTTTTTGATGGGATCCTTGTCTGGTTTTGGGATCAAGGTGATGCTGGCCTCATAAAATGAGTTTGGAAGTTTTCCTTCCATTTCTATTTTTTGGAACAGTTTCAGGAGAATAGGAATTAATTCTTCTTTAAATGTTTGGTAGAATTCCCCTGGGAAGCCGTCTGGCCCTGGGCTTTTGTTTGTTTGGAGATTTTTGATGACTGTTTCAATCTCCTTACTGGTTATGGGTCTGTTCAGGTTTTCTATTTCTTCCTGTTTCAGTTGTGGTAGTTTATATGTCTCTAGAAATGTATCTATTTCTTCCAGATTGTCAAATTTGTTGGCATAGAGTTGCTCATAGTATGTTCTTATAATTGTTTGTATTACTTTGGTGTTGGTTGTGATCTCTCCTCCTTCATTCATGATATGATTTATTTGGGTCCTTTCTCTTTTCTTTTTGATAAGTCTGGCTAGGGGTTTGTCAATCTTATTAATTCTTTCAAAGAACCAGCTCCTAGTTTCGTTGATTTGTTCTATTGTTGTTGTTGTTTTGTTTGTTTGTTTGTTTGTTTTTAGTTTCTATTTCATTGATTTCTGCTCTGATCTTTATGATTTCTCTTCTCCTGCTGGGTTTAGGCTTTCTTTGTTGTTCTTTCTCCAGCTCCTTTAAGTGTAGGGTTAGGTTGTGTATTTGAGACCTTTCTTGTTTCTTGAGAAAGGCTTGTACTGCTATATATTTTCCTCTGAGGACTGCCTTTGTTGTGTCCCACAGATTTTGAACCGTTGTGTTTTCATTATCATTTGTTTCCATGAATTTTTTCAATTCTTCTTTAATCTCCTGGTTGACCCATTCATTCTTTAGAAGGATGCTGTTTAGTCTCCATGTATTTGGGTTCTTTCCAAATTTCCTCTTGTGATTGAGTTCTAGCATTGTGGTCTGAAAATGTGCAGGGAATGATCCCAATCTTTTGATACCAGTTGAGACCTGATTTATGTCCTAGGATGTGATCTATTCTGGAGAATGTTCCATGTGCACTAGAGAAGAATGTATATTCTGTTGCTTTGGGATGGAATGTTCTGAATATATCTGTGATGTCCATCTGGCCCAGTGTGTTATTTAAGGCCTTTATTTCCTTGTTGATCTTTTGCTTAGATGATCTGTCCATTTCAGTGAGGGGAGTGTTAAAGTCCCCTACTATTATTGTACTATTGTTGATGTATTTCTTTGATTTTGTTATTAATTGGTTTATATAGTTGGCTGCTCCCATGTTAGGGGCATAGATATTTAAAATTGTTAGGTCTTCTTGTTGGACAGAACCTTTGAGTATGATATAGTGTCCTTCCTCATCTCTTATTATAGTCTTTGGCTTAAAATCTAATTGATCTGATATAAGGATTGCCACCGCAGCTTTCTTCTGATGTCCATTAGCATGGTACATTGTTTTCCACCCCTTCACTTTAAATCTGGAGGTGTCTTCAGGTCTAAAATGAGTTTCTTATAGGCAACATATTGATGGGTTTTGTTTTTTTTAATCCATTCTGATACCCTGTGTCTTTTGATTGGGGCATTTAGCCCATTAACATTCAGGGTAACTATTGAGAGATATGAATTTAGTGCCATTGTATTGCTGTAAGGTGACTGTTACTGTATGTTGTCTCTGTTTCTTTCCGATCTACTACTTTAGGGTCTCTCTTTGCTTAGAGGATCCCTTTCAATATTTCCTGTAGAGCTGGTTTGGTGTTTGCAAATTCTTTCAGTTTTTATTTGTCCTGGAAGCTTTTTATCTCTCCTTCTATTTTCAGTGATAGCCTAGCTGGGTATAGTATTCTTGGCTGCATGTTTTTCTCGTTTAGTACTCTGAATATATCATGCCAGTTCTTTCTGGCCTGCCAGGTCTCTGTGGATAGGTCCGCTGCCAATCTAATGTTTTTACCCTTGTATGTTATAGACTTCTTTTCCTGGGCTGCTTTCAGGATTTTCTCTTTGTTGCTAAGACTTGTAAATTTTACTATCAGGTAATGAGATGTGGACCTATTTTTATTGATTTTGAGGGGCGTTCTTAGCATCTCCTGGAGTTTGATGTTTGTTCCTTTGCCATATTAAGGAAATTCTCTACAATAATTCTCTCCAATATACCTGCTGCTCCCCTCTCTTCTTCTTCTTCTTCTGGAATCCCAATTATTCTAATGTTGTGTCGTGTCGTCTTATGGTGTCACTTATCTCTCGAATTCTCTCCTCATGGTCCAGTATTTGTTTGTCTCTCTTTTGCTCACCTTCTTTATTCTCTGTCATTTGGTCTTCTATGTCACTAATTCTTTCTTCTGTCTCATTTATCCTAGCAGTAAGAGCCTCCATTTTTGATCGCACCTCATTAATAGCTTTTTTGATTTCAACTTGGTTAGATTTTAGTTCTTTTATTTCTCCAGAAAGGGCTTTTATCTCTGTGGAGAGGGTTTCTCTAATATCTTCTATGCCTTTTTTGAGCCCGGCTAGAACCTTGAAAATCGTCATTCTGAACTCTAGGTCTGTCGTATTAGCAACATCTGTATTGATTAGGTCCCCAGCCTTTGGTACTGCCTCTTGTTCTTTTTTTTTGTGGTGAGTTTTTCCGCCTTGTCATTTTGTCCAGATAAGATTTGCTTTCTCCTCCTCTGGAATTCCGTTGTCCTCCTTGGTGAGTGAAGTTGGTCTTGGCTGGGTTTCTTGTTGATCTTCTGGGGGAGGGGCCTGTTGTAGTGATTCTCAAGTGTCTTTGCCCCAGGCGGAATTGCACCACCCTTACCAGGGGCCAGGCTAAGTAATCCGCTTGGGTTTGCTTTCAGGAGCTTTTGTTCCCTGAGCGCTTTCCGTAGAGTTCTGGAGGACGGGAATGAAGATGGCGGCCTCCCAGTCTCCGGCCCAGAGGAGCCGAGAGCTCAGGGTCCCGCTCCTCAGTGTGCCCTCAGAGAAAAGCGCCCAACTGCGCCCGTCTCCCTGGCCTCTGGTCGCGCTTGTAGGAAAGCGCTCAATCAGTCGCACTTGGAGAAAAGCGCCCAGTCGCTTCCGTCTCCATGGCCTCCAGCCTCACTCTGAGCTCACCCAGCCTGTGACCTGTTAAAGGTAACCCCGAGCTGAGAGCTCACTCCTTGGCTTTGTCACTGTAGCCGGCTTCCCTGCTCTAATACCTGCGAGCTCTGCAACACTCAGACACCCCCGGTCCTTCTGTGACCCCGCGGGATGTGGGGTTATGCTGACCCCGCGTGGGCTTCTCCCCGGTTTAGCCTCTGGAGCGATGTCCCTCAATGGAACAGACTTTTAAAAGTCCTGATTTTGTGCTCCATTGCTCTGCTGCTTGCCGGCAGCCGGCCCCTCCCCCCGCGGTCTATCTTCCCGTCACTTTGGATTCACTTCTCCGCAGATGCTACCTTTCAGAAAGTGATCAATTTTCTGTTTCTAGAATTGTTGCTCGTCTTCTCTTCAATTTCCCGTGGATTTGTAGGTGTTTGCAATGGTTAGATAAGCTATCTAGCTGATCTCCTGCTACCTGATGTCATCTCAGCCTGCTACTTCTCCGCCATCTTACTCCTCTCTCAAGGCCTATTTATTATAGGGGCATCTGGGTGGCTCATTTGGTTGAGTGTCCAACTCTTGATATTGGCTCAGGTCATGATCTCAATGTCGTGAGATAGAGCCCTGCATAGGGCTCCATGCTAAGCATGGAGACTGCTTGAGATTCTCTCCCTTCCTCCTTCTGCTCATCCCCTTCCACACTCTCTCTCTCTCTCAAAAAAGACCTGTTTATTATAAAAGCAATCATTTGTAATTTTAACAGTAATATGATAACAACATTTTAGCCAAAGTTTATTGAGAACTGACTTTGTGTCATGCATTGTGCTGAGTAGTGTTTTATTATTTATTTAGTTAGTTATTTTTATTATGTTAGTCACCATACAGTAGTTTTTGATGTTGTGTTCCTTGATTCATTGTTTGCGTGTAACACCCAGTGCTGGTGATGAGCAGTACTTTAGTGCATCGTCTCATTAATCTTCCAGAGAACTCATCAGGGTAGGTGCAATATATAACGTTTGTGTAAAATTATGAAATCAAATTATGAATTTGAGCCTAACAAAGACAGGTAGGAAATCATAGAGCAAATCTAAAAAACAAGTGTTTGTCACCAAACCCCATATATTTAACAATTGTGTTCTAGCATCTTCCATCTTTTACAAAGTCAGAATAATATATCTCAGGTTGCATGTGCAGATTTTTATCAGATTATTATGTATTGTTGTTTAACCCGTAGGGCACGAGCTTTAGGATTAGAAACAGTGGCTAGTAGGTGTGGGGCAATGCTGGCTCCCCTCTTGATGACGCTAATGGCGTATCTTTCCATTTTGCCCTGGATCATCTACGGAGTCTCACCCATTATTGCTGGTCTTGCTGTCCTCTTCCTACCTGAAACAAGAAATCTGCCTCTGCTTGACACCATCCGCGATGTGAAAAATAAGTGAGTAAATCTTCTAGCCACCTCCTGGGAGGAACTGTATGCCTTAGGTCTTTGGGTGAGGAAGGCAAAACACCACATGAGTCCTTCAGATCACTGAGAAGTTTCAGCTTTGCCTGGGATACTTCTGTCTCAGGCCACTGCCTTTCATTAGTGGCAGGGTCGCCTCTAACCCCTGTGAATTCCAATCTAGATTGCAGAAATCCCCTCTGCCCAGATCTCATCAGTAGTTTCAGTGGTGAAGAGATGAAAATTAGCTCTGTTGTGATGGCACATACTACCTACCTTCATAAGAGACACACATTCATGATGGTATTTCGTGATTCTGAGATCCACAGGACACTTGGATATGAAGGGGAAAGAAATACCATTGCCAATAAAGGAATAATGTTAGGAAGATCACATAGAGTTAAAAAAAATTTTGGAAGGATAATAGAGGAAAGAAATCTTGTTTAGGCATCTTGGTATTCAGACAATTTTGCTGCCATGAGTAATGGAAAGATTAAGGATAGAGAAAATAAAAAAATGGAAAATATTTTAAATGAGAAAAAGGGTATATTAGTTTCCTGGGGTCTCCATACTCAAGTTCCACAAACTGAGTGACTTAACAGCAGAAATTTATTTCCTCAAAGTTCTGGAGGCTGGGAGTCTGAGCTCAAGTGTCAGCAGGGCCACATTCCCTCTGAAGTCCTTAGGGAAGGGTCTGTTCCAAGCCCCTATTCCAGCTTCTGGTATCTTTGGCTTGTGGCAACATAACTCCAATATTCACATAGCATTCTTGCAGGCAGGTCTCTGTGTTGAAATTTTCCCTTTTGTGATACCAGTCATAGTGATCAGGGGCCCAACCTACTCCAGTATGACCTCCTCTTAACTAATTATATCTTCAACAACTATATCTGAATGTGATAATTTCACATTCTGAGATACTGAGAGTTAAAACTTCAATGTATGAATTTGGGGATGGGGGAACACAATTCAATCCAAACAAATGAGGGAGTTCTCTTAAGATTATCAATCTACTTCTTGACTTTCCAAAGGTGTCACTGGCGGGAAATCTGAAAAGACCAAGTGAGAGTAGCAACTTTTAAAACTGTTTTCTTGGGTCTTACTGCAGGAATTTCTTGGATCTGCACAGGCAGCAGATACTTTTCCAACATTAATATCAATATGCCATGAATTTTGTTGGGTTTTAAAAAGCCGATAGTTGGAGGATTAGTTTGTACTTGTGCACAGAAAGCACACAAACTTATTTTTATCTTTGTTTTTTTAATATTTGTTTTTGCTTGTTGAATGGTTGATTGGTTGACTGATTGTTTCTGTTTTGTTTTTCTAGCAAAGAATTCTCAAGAAAGGTAAATGAAATAAATTCCTTCGTAAAAGTGACAAAATTTTAAGGTGTTTCCATGAGCTAACTGGTGAGGAAAAGAAATACTATGAAATAAAAATAAAACACAAGAATGTTCTTTTATATCTACAAACTACCAAGAAAAATATACTGGAAAACAAATCTCACTTACATTTATTACATTAATTTGCAGTTAAATAATTTTTGGGAACATGTAATTCTATGAATAATCTAATATTTTTGGAAAGTGGTTGAAAATTTCAAATTTATTGGTAAATTATTAATACACATTCAGAAACAAAGGAAAACCATGGAATTAAGATGTAGCTGGCTGAGAGAAAAGGGATCACATGGGTGATGGGGATTAAGGAGAGCACTTGCTGTGATGAGCACTGTGTATTGTATGTAAGTGTTGAATCACTATATTGTACACCCAAAATCAGAAATTAATATCACACTGTATGTTAACTAACTGGAATTTAAATAAAAACATGGGGGGAAAAAGAAAAGGGGACAGAAAATTTATTGGAAAAAAATTAGCTAAAAACTTCTCAGATCTGAAGGAAACAGATATCCAGATCTAGGAGGCACAGAAAGTCCTACCCCCCAACCCCAAATTCAACCCAGGAGGTCCACACCAACACACATAGTAATTGAAATGGCAAAAAGTAGTGATAAAAAAAATTAAAGCAGCTAAACAAAAAGATAGTTATCTACAAGGGAAACCCCATCAGACTATCAGCAGATTTTTTATCAGAACCTTTGCAGATCAGAAGAAGAGTGGCATGATATATTCAAAGCACTAAAAGGGAAAAATATGCAGCCAAGACTACTGTATCCAGCAAGGCTATCAATCAGAATAGAGGGAGTGATAAAAAGTGTCCCAGACAAACAAAAACTAAAGGAGCTCATGACCACTAAACCAGCCTGGCAAGAAATATTAAATGGGATTCTTTGAGAGGAAAGGAAAGACCATAAGCGAGATTATGAAAAGTAAAAAACACAAAAGCAGTAAAAACATTTTCAAAAATGCTTTTACTTCTTGACTTTACTTCTTTTACTTTTCTTGACTGCAAAAATCAGTCAAGAGATTTATAAAATAGAAGGTTGTAAAATAGGACCTGACATATTTAAAACATGGGTTGGGGGAGGGGAGTAAATAATGGGTTCAAATTTAAGTAAAGAATGCATTCAAGCCAGCAACTTAATGTAGATTGCTAAATGCAGAAGATGTTATATACAAACCTAATGAGAACCACTATTTGAAAACCAGTAATAGATATGCAAAGAATAAAGAGAAAGGAATTCAAGTATTTCACTATAGAAAGCCAACAAACCATGAAAGAGAGCAAGAGAAGAAACCATCAGAGAAAATCTATAGAAACAACCACAAAACAAGTAACAAAATGGCAATAAATACACACCTATCAATAATTACTCTGAATATAAATGGAATAAATGCTCCTGTCAAAAGACATAGGGTTACAGAGTGGAAAAAAAAATGTGATCCATCTATATGCTGTCTACAAGAGACTCATTTCCGACTGAAAGACACCTGCAGATTGAAAGTGATGCCAATGGACATCAGAAGAAAACCAGGGTAGCGATACTTATATTGGACAAAATAGACTTAAAAACAAAGACTCTAACAAGAGACAAAGAAGGGTACTATATAATAATAATGGGGACAAGCCACAAGAGGATATAAAAATTGTAAATATGCACCCAATATGGGAGCATCCAAATACATAAAACAGCTAATGACAAACATAAAGGAAATAATTGATAATGGTACAATAACGGTAGGGGACTTTAATACCCCACTTATGTTGATGGATAGATCATCTAAGTAGAAAATCAAGGAAGCAGTGGTTTTGAATGATACACTGGACCAGGGGGCTTTAACAGACGTATTCAGAACATTCCATCCTAAAAAAGCAGAATACACATTCTTTTTCAAGTGCACATGGAACAAGTTTCAACAAATTAAAAAAAATTGAAGTCGTACCATGCATCGTTTCTGATCACCATGTTCTTAAACTAGAAATCAATCACAAGAAAACACCTGGAAAAAGCACAAGTACATGGAGGTTAAATAACATACTACTAAAAAATGAGTGGGTTGACCAAGAAGTTGAAGAAGAAATAAAAAATTACATGAAAAAGAAAATGAAAACACAGTGGTCCAAAATCTTTGAGATGCACAAAAGTGCTTCCAAGAAAGAGGTTTATAGCAACACAAGCCTACCTCAAGAAGCAAGAAAAATCTCAAACAGAAAACCTAACCTTGCACCTAAAAGAACTAGAAAAAGAACAAACAAAAACCAAACCCAGCAAAAAAAGTAAAAAAATAATAAAGATCAGAGCAGAGATCAATGACATAGAAATGAAACAAATGAACAAAACAAAACAAAACAAAATAAAAAACAACCCAGTAGAACAGATCAAGGGAACCAGGAGCTGGTTGTTTGAAAAGATCAACAAAATTGATAAACCTCTAGCCAGAGAAAAAAGGGAGAGAGGGCCCAAATAAACAAAACCACTAATGAAAGAGGACAGATACTCAACACCACAGAAATACAAATAATTGGAACAGAATATTATGAAAACCTACATGCCAACAAATTCAACAACCTAGAAGAAATGGATAAATTCCTAGAAGCATATTATCTACAAAAACTAAAGCAGGAAGAAATAGAAAATTTTAACAGATGGATTACCAGCAATGAAATTGAATCAGTAACCATAAAACTCCTCAAAAAACCCGAGTCCAGGACCAGATTGCTTCACAGGTAAATTGTACCAAACATTTAAAGACTTAATACCATTCTCAACCTGTTGCAAAAAATAGAAGAGGGAAGAAAACTTCACTTCCAAATTCATTCTATGAACCCAGTATCACTTGGTACCAAAATCAGATAAAAGAAAGAAATACAAACAAGCCAATATCTCTGATGAATATAGGTTTGGGTTTCAAGTTCAGATGGCAGAGTAGTATGGAGATCCTACACTTGCCTCATCCCTCAAACACATTCTGAGCACCCCGAAAAACTGATGTGAATACTGTTAGGGTCCGTGATCAAAGGAACGAGACTGATATAAAGCAAAAATCAAACAAAGCTTTCTTTCACGCCAAGCATCAAAAGTCAAACTGACCGGTCAGGGCTATCTCTTACGAAAAGACCACGATGATGATTCTGACAAGGTTACTCCCAAGAAGGCCGCTCTGGACGAGGCTGCTCCCCAGATGAGGCCGCTCCCCGGGCAGGGCCGCTCCCAAAAAGAGGCGATGACGACAGCAACGATGACAGGGAGGACAACACCGATGACACAGATTCTGCTCCCCATGACGCCACTCTGACAAGGCTGCTCTGGCTAGGCTGCTCCCCAGACAAGGCTGCTCCAGCGAGGCCGCTCTGGAGGAAGCCTCTTCCCTGACGGATGCTGCTTTCCCAGGGCCGTTCACCAAGGAGACCTCTTCTCAGACGAAGCCGCTCCCCGGAATGACACAGGTCTGGGGAGGCAGCGGCTCAGGGTTCCCGGCGAGGTTGCTGCCATCTAGGCCGTTCCCCATGGCGCCGCTGCCGAGGGTCGCAATGTGTGGGCGGGGCCGCTGGCATCTGGGCCGCTGGCATCTGGACTGCTGGTGGCTCGGGGCCGCGGGCAGCACTTATAGCTCTTACAAGAGCTATTACAGCTCTTCTTCTCCCGCTGACTCTCCTGCTGCTTCTTCTTCCTTCTTCTTCTTCTGACAGCTCTCCTTCTTCTCTTCTTTACCAGCCTCGCAGACCAACCTTTATGGGGGCGGTTGAGCCCCGCCCCTACACAGGTAGCCAATTGAATCCTAATTCACCCAGTGGATATACCCACGCCACACCGATTGGACGTCTTCACCCGGCCTGCCCCGCCCCTACTTCCGGGGTCCACAAGCTAGTTCCTCTGGGAGGGGCAGGCCCTTATAATACTGAGAGAACAAACTGCGCAGCTAGAGGGGGAAAAAACAGCCACATCAGAAGGTAGGAACTGCTGAGAGTTGATTTGGGGGAAAAAAGAAGTGTGCTTTTCTGCATAGGGGAGGGAGCCCTCATCATGGAGAGGAGTGTGAGAGGAGAGAGAGAGAGAGCGCGAGAGCGAGCAGGCAGGGGATTGCACAAGAAAAACTCTTCCCCAAAACCACTGACTGGGAAAAGGAGAGGGGCTGACTACCACAAGTCTTTAGAAGCAGAGGAACTCAAAATCCGAAGTTCAAGAATTTGCTGGGGTCCTGCCTGGCCGCACAGCTGTGCTCCAGTGAGGAAGGACGGTAGAGACCAGGGAGTGGACAGCGTGCTCTGAGGATCCTCCGGGTCCCCAGGGTAGGAACAGTTTCCCTCCTTGGAGTGCATTTGGGAGAGGTAGCACTGCCTCTCGGGGGGGGGGGGGGGGACAGGAGCCCTGGAGGGGCCCCGTAATTAGAATAGCAGCAGAGGCACCTGCTGAAGGCAGCTAACCTAGAAACCAGCTTTTGGCTGCCCTTTACCATAAACCCCTAGCCCCACATTGTTGTGCGACCACTTTTCTGGGACAAGCTGGCACCGGCCACAGTGTGGGGAGACCCTCTCCCAGAGGATCAGTGCCAGTCTGCACCACACCGGGGCCCAGCGTGACACCTGACATAAAACACAGGAGAACTGTGCCACCTAGTGGGCCGACAGCTCAGACACAGACGCGATGGAGGCAGGGATCTGATGGAAGCTGGGGACACAAGAGGGGAGACTGTTGGTTCTTCTGTGAGGACTTCCTGAACAGCAGCAAGTGGGAATTCCCTGCTCCTGGGATGAGATTTGGGTGAGGCCAATCTCCCCGCACCCCACCATCAACACCGCCAGACTTCAGTGAGCAGCACAGCGCCCCTAGTGGAGACCGTAGCTGCTTACACCAAGCCCTGAGCCCCGCAGGTCCATCTTTACTAGGGCAAGTCAGGCTAAGAACCATCGCAGGAGCCCACTCCCCTAGAAGACCAGCATATGCACACACCAAGTCTACTGATCATAGAGTGCTGCTGCCAAGCTTCAGCTTTAGGGGAGTTAGGATCTAGCTTCCTTTAACAAGCAGACCAAAACACACCTAGTTAGAATTTGCCATGCAGAGGACAAGTTTTAAACACTCCCTACCACAGGCAAAGAGAAACTCTGCAGGGGACTGACTCAAAGGAAGAAGCAGGCAAAACGCAACAGCAGATTGCATACTCTGAAACACTTCCTGAAGCATGAGGCCCAAGATAGTATCGGACCTCTTCTTAATGCAACCATCACTCTCAGGAGCGGGAATATAATAGGCTTTCCTAACACACACAGTGACCCAGACAGAATGACAAGATGGAGGAATTCACCCGCAAAAGAAAGAAGAGGAAGAAATGACTGCCAGGGATTTAATCTGATGAATATAGAGATAAAATATTAGCAAATAAAATTCAACAATACATTAAAAAAATCATACATCACAATCAAGTGGGGTTTATTCCCAGGATTCAAGGGTGGCTCAATATTTGCAAATCAATAAAAGAAAGAATAAAAACCATATGAACATTTCAATAGATGCAGAAAAAGTGTTTGACAAAGTACAACAGCCACTCATATAAAAACCCTCTGCAAAGCAGGTCTAGAGAGAACATACCTCAACCTAATAAAATCCTTATATGAAAAACATACAGCCAACATCACACTCAATGGTGTGGCTTTTCTCCTAAGGTCAGGAACAAGACAAGGATGTCCACTCTCACAACTTTTATTCAACATTGTCCTAGAAGTTCTAGCCACATCAATTAGACAACAAAAAGAAATAAAAGGCATTTGAATTGTCCAGGAAGAAGTAAAAATGTCACTATTTGTGGATGGTATGATATGATATATAGAAAACCCGAAAGATTGCCAAAAAAACTACTAGAACTGATAAATGAATTCAATAAAGTCACAGGATACGAAATTGATGTACAGAAATCTGTTCAATTCCTATACACTAATAATGAAACAGAGTAAAATTAAGAAAGCCATCACATTTACAAATGTACCAAAAACAATAAAATACTGAGGAATAAACTTAACTAAAGAGGTGACAGATCTGTACTCTGAAAACTATAAAACACTGATGAAAGAAATTCAAGATGACACAAAGAAGTGGAAAGACATTTCATGTTCATGGATTGGAAAAATACATATTAAAATGTCCATACTATTCAGGGGCGCCTGGGTGGCTAAGTGGGTTAAAGCCTCTGCCTTCGGCTCAGGTCATGATCCCAGGGTTCTGGGATGGAGTGCCCCATTGGGCTCTCTGCTCAGCAGGGAGCCTGCTTCCTCCTCTCTCTCTGCCTGCCTCTCTGCCTATTTGTGATCTCTGTCTGTCAAATAAATAAATAAAATCTTAAAAAAAAAGTCCATATGACTCAAAGCACTCTACAGACACACTGCAATCCCTAGCAAAATACCAATAGTATTCCTCACCAAATTAGGACAATCATAAAATTTGTATGGCACCACAAAAGGCCCTGACTAGCCAAAACATTCTTGAAAAAGAAAAACAAAACTGGAGGCATCATAATTCCAGACATCAAGTTATATTACAAAGTGATAGTAATTAAAACAGTACGGTATTGGCACTAAAACGAGACACATACATCAAAAACTAATAATGTACTATATGTTGGCTAATCGAACTTAACAAAAAAAAAAATACAAGTGTGTGTGATTTTAACGTGGAGGCTCTTTCTCTCGAAGTTGGCAGGATTCCAGGATTATTTGGGGGACATATTCTTCACAACCTCTCCATCTGAGTTATCAAGATTCTAGCAGCTCTGTAGAACTCCAAAATTATAGGCTGGAGGACAAAGAGGGGGTGCCAGTAATTTTCATTTTCTTGTTCAGAAAGATTCCTGGATCTCCAGAAAAGCACCCTTTGTCCAGCTTCACTTTGCACTTCTATAAATCCTCACCTTTCCCAGTAGATTTTGAGATATTGAGATGAACATATGGTTTTTCTTGCTTAGTCTCATGAAATGGTGAATTACACGGATACATTTTTAAATGCTAAGCTAACCACTGAAATAAACCTACTTGGTGAGGATGTAGGAAACTTGAAAAAATACTATTTTATTTGATTTGCTAAGATGTTAGTGAGAAGTTTTGCATTTAAGTTAATGGGAATTATTGGTCTGTACCTTACTCTTGTATCTTCACCTACTTTGGGTATCAGAGTAGTGCTGGCTACACAGAATGTTGGGGAACATTCTCTCCTTTCCTACTCCCAAAGGAGTTTGTGTACAAGTAGAATTATGTCTTCTTTAAATATTTGCTAAAAGTTTTCAGTGAAGATATCTGTAGTTTTCTTTGTAGGAAGATGTTAAACTGTAAACTTATTTTATGTACTATATATACAGGACTATTCAATTTATCTACTTCTTGAGTGATGTTTTCTTTACCATGGATCAAATTTTCTTTTCTTTCTTTCATTTGTTCATTCATGGTTGGTTTGTTTGTTTTTTTTAATATTTTATTTATTTATTTATTTGACAGAGAGAGAGAGAGAGACAGCGAGAGCAGGAACGCAAGCAGGGGGAGTGGAAGAGGGAGAAGCAGGCTTCCCACTGAGCAGAGAGCCCGATGCGGGGCTTGATCCCAGGACCCTGGGATCATGACCTGAGCCTAAGGCAGATGCTTAGTGCCTGAGCTACCCAGGCACCCCGGATCCTAGTTTCTTATTTCTTTGCAGGCACTGCTCACTGCACTCCTCAAGGTCTCCTCACTTCAACTTGTGGAAGCCCGACAGCATCCCTAACCCTGACCCCTTGTGCCTCTGACCCTCCTCTCCTTAGACCCTTCCTTCAAGCAAGCTGTCATGCCCGCTGAGGTATCCTTTTGGGGACACCAGAGCTAAGGACAGGGATCACCCAAAGGCTCCCCAAATTTCACCCCCCACTGTGAAAAAAATTCTGACTAGACTGGCCTCACCCACACGAGGCTCTGCTCTGTGAGACTGGAAACTCCACAGAGTCAGGGGCAGGAAGGGTAGGATACCGAGCAGGATGCTGATCCCATTCCATCTGTGCCTTTTGAAACTGCCACGTGACCCCTAGAATAACCCTGTGGACTTGGCCATGTTGTGTGAAGTAACTTGTCTTCATGTTGTGCTTGGGACTCAAGTCAATGAATGTGGTTGCTCACTTTCTCAGGAAATGTGAAAGTGGAAATGCCAAGTGAACCCTTGTGACTCACTGGCCATCTTGCTATCTTTCCAGGTAAGTGTACAGTCTGGCTTTAGAGGATGCCCAGGTTCCATATCCAGTCCTCTCTCCTCCAACTTAGAACACTGCCTCTCATTGTGTGTACTCGCTGCTGAGAACCCAGCTACTTACGTCAATGAGGGGAAAGTGGCAGAGGAGAACCTCACTTCTTACTCTGATCTTTACCCCCAAACCCTGCCTTTCTCCTGTTGCTCAGCATGACCTTCTCCTGCCCAAAGCCAACCCCTTCATTTTCACAAGGGGTCTTGCTTCCTCATATCTACTCAACGACTTGACTCCCATCAACTTTCTTTTGTTACAAAACTCTCATGAGTCACTCTGCTTCCTGTTCTCCCTCTTGTCCCATTCTTTGTATTTAAAACTCCTTAACTATGGAACTTATTTATGGACAGAAGATAGTTTTAAAGAGGCATCCATATGTACACCACCAAAATGAAACAGATATTGCATGTTTGCTGGGCGGTGTTGGTACCTAGCTTTCCTTAAGAAAGGAGGAGGGTTCTGATCCTGGGGAAGATGGACTGCATCTGGTCTCTTTAACTGAATGCATCTTAAAAATAAGAAAGAGGGCAAGGGGTGACTATTTTAGACCGTGAAAAGTATATTCTATTAACATATTAGTATGGGTGGCTCACTCAGTTAGGTGTCCAACTCTTGATTTTGGTGCAGGTCATAATCTCATGGTTGTGAGATAGAGCCCTGCTCTGGGCTCTGTGCTGGGCGTGGAGCCTGCTTGAGATTCTCTCTCTCCCTCCACTGCCCCTCCCCCCATAAATACATAAATAAAATCTTACAAAAACACATTAGTGTGGGGTGCCTGGGTCGCTCAGTGGGCTAAGCCTCTGCCTTCGGCTCAGGTCGTGATCCCGGGGTCCTGGGATCGAGCCCTGCATCGGGCTCTCTGCTCAGCAGGGAGCCTGCTTCCCCCTCTCTCTCTGCCTGCCTCTCTGCCTACTTGTGATCCCTCTCTCTGTCAAATAAATAAATAAAATCTTTAAAAAAAACCACATTAGTGTGCCTAATAATAATAGCACAAATATGGTTAAGGGAAGAAATAGAGCTACAACAGAGTGAAGTTTCTATGTCATATTGGAATCCAGTGAGTAGAAACATAAAATTGTTTCTGATAGGTTATGACATGCACTCTCAGCTCTAGAGCGACCGCTGAGGGAAAAAAAAAAAAAACAGTTAAAAATCCTTAAATGAACTTAATGATACCCTAGAAATAGTCACTTGAAACAAAAGGTGATTTTGAAAGAGGACCAGAGGAACAAAAGAGTTAGGAGGCATAAGGAAAAAAAAAAAAGGCAAAATAATCGATGTGATGCCAACCATATCAATAGCATTTACAATCCAATCAAAGTGTATAAAAGCAATACCCAGCTGCATGCTGTCTTCAGAAAATATACTTTTGATTCAATGATACAGATTAATGGGAATTAACAGGATATAAAAAAGACATACCATTCAAACAGCAGCCACAAGACAGCTAGTGTGGTTGTACAAATATCACAAAAATAGACTTTAAGATAACTAAGGCAGGACGCCTCTGTGGCTTGGTCGTTAAGTGTCTGCCTTTGGCTCAGGTCACAATCCTAGGGTTCTACGATCGAGCCCCGCATCAGGCTCCTTGCTCAGTGGGGAGTCTACTCCTCCCTCTCCTGCTCTTCCTCTTGTGTTCCCTCTCTCACTGTGTCTCTCCCGTCAAATAAATAAAATCTTAAAAAAAGAAAAAGATAACTACAAAGGAAAAAGAGGGACATTTCAGGATGATAAACAGGTCAATTCATTAGGAAGATATAATAAGCATGAATATTAATCAGCATGAACCCTAAAACACATGAAGTAAAAATCGACAGAATTGAAGGCAGATGTGGAAAATGCAACAATAATAATTGGAACTTTCCATAACCCACTTTATGAAACAGGGAGAACACTAAGGCTGACTATCAGCAGGGACATAGAAGACTTAATACCATAAACCCACCAGACCTAACAAATACAGAACACTTTCCCCGACGACACATCACAGTTTTCTTCTCGTCAAAATGCTTCTCACACAAAGCATTCTCCAGAATGGATGACAGATTGGCCCATTAAAGAAGCCCTTAGACACCGTCAAGGATTGAAATAACACAAAGTAATGCTGTGGAGAGAGAATTGGGTCAGTTTCCTTCCAGTTTGATGGGGAGCAGTAGAATTATCCTGAAGACTCCCCACCATGTTTTCCCACGATGCTCCTTTTGCAATAGGGTTACCAGTGAACACATTTCATTTACTTTGTGTTTTGTAGTCATTCTTTTTTTTTTTTTAAGATTTTATTTATTTATTTATTTGAGACAGACAGAGCATAAACAGGGGGAGCAGCAGAGGCAGAGGGAGATGCAGACTCCCCACTGAGTAGGGAGCCCGACTCGGGACTCAATCCAGGACTCTATGATCATGACCTTAGTCGAAAGCAGACGCTTCACCAACTGAGACACCCAGGCGCCCCTTGTCGTAATTCTTGAAAGGATTCTTATAAAAAGAAAAACAAGTTGGGGAATGGATGGTGACATCAGAAAACAATGAAGAGATGCTAGAAATTATGGTAAATTCTCTGTCTTAATTGTAGTTTTAGAGATTCTTCCTGGATACGGCCACAGACAGCCCCTTAAAGAAGGTTCTGTCAGCCCTCTCTTTCTGAGCCACATTCTTATTCCTTTCAGGATTCCCAAAGTCCTCATTTTTATGGTAGCAACCGTTCAAAGAAGTCAATCTTATCATGTACATGAGGCGCAGACACAGATGGGGCCATCGGGCGTAGCTCCTTAACTACACTTCTGTAGTTCTGTAAGTCTTGTCTAATGCTACGTAACAAGGCTCCTCTTCACCCAATTCCCATTAACACGCTCTGCATTTTCCTGTAGCCCTCTTACGATTTTGTTAAATTAGCATTTGGTAAGTGGAGCACAGGACACTGGGTGGTACCCTGTGGTTCAGTAAAAGACCACAGGAGAAACTGACATAGAGAAGTTTACAACTCGAGGTCATACCTTGAAGGGCAACATGGGGAGAGCAAGGCAGGTGCAGACAGAAAGAGCAACAAGACTTGGGGCCCATGCCTTTATTAGGGGGTGTGGGTGGCATGCTTTGAGGTTCTCCGAGCTAGGGCTACATTGGTCAATGCAGACCAAAACAGTAGGGTTTTGGTAATAAGGCCCATGGGGGGTCTAATTTCGAGGAGACTTGGTAGTTACTCTGGGGTGGGTGTTTGGATACTCTAGGGCCAGGAATTAGCATTAGAGAGTGGGGTAAAAGTTCTGCCGATTTGGAGAAACCACTTATTGTTTAAAAGCTTGAGGTTAAGTGTCTGACTTAACCGATGCTTGAGTCAGTTAAGTGTCTGACTGGCTCAGGTCCTGATCTCAGGGTCCTGGGATTGAGTCCTGCATCAGGCTCCCTGATCAGTGGGGAGTCTGCTTCTCCCTCTCCCTCTGCCCTCCCGCTGCTCATGTTCTCTCTCTCTATCTCAAATAAATAAACAAAATCTTTTAAAAAGTAAAATACAATAAAAGCTTGAGGAGCATGTCTCTGAGTAGGCCATTATGTCTCTCTCTGTCTGGCCATGGGGAGCCCATAAACTAGGTAGAAATTCCATGAGATCCCATGTTCTGCAGCTCATGATTGAACACTTGGGAGGTGAAATGAGCACCTCAATCTGAATCCATAATGTCTGGTGGGTCGAAGGGGATGAACACACATCTGGTTAAGAGGGAGATCCTGTGATGGGAGGCAGCCGGGTGGAGAGAGCTACCGGCCTGAGTCCAGGTAAGCTATCCGAGATGGTGGGTGCAACCTAATAGCTCCAGCAGGGGGCAGCAGGGGCCCAATGAAACACATTTGCCAGCCCTAGAGGGGTCTGTCACCCTGGGGCCCAAGTCTCCCCCTGGGAGACTTTCAGGGTTTTGTTTGGGAACAAAGGAGGTAGTTATCTACCACCAATTTGGCTAGAGCCTGGGTGAGGGCTCCCTACGGCCGTGTCTGCACACCCAGTCAGTGAGGGCTGTCACTCCCCAGTGGCCTGATGTATATGGGCCCACTCAGCACTAGTGGGTATGGCATCTTGGAAGGAATAGTCGTGTCTGGGGCAACGTCTGGTACTCTGGGAAGTCATTCGTGTGGGGTCTTGCGCCATACATGTCTTTTGGATAAGGATCTGCAGTGTAGTTATAATGTTTCTGGTGTCTGCCAATGTGTGTGCATGTGTGTGCAGACACGAATGACCATAACCAGCATGTGTAAGTTGGCTATTTCTCTCCAAGTGGAGGCACCCCAGGTCGGCTTTCTCTGAATCATGAAAGTACCCTTTTGCCATTGTCTAGGCCAGACGATGAGCCCTTCGGCTACCTCCCAGAAGTCAGTAAAAATGAGTGTCCTGGGAAGTCTCATTTGTGTGGCCAGGCACATCGTTACCGACTCTGCTTGTGGGACGGAGCCAGGAGAGCCCTCCTGACCAGGGATAGGCCAGTAGCAGGATGATAAGCTGCAGTGTCCCAGCAGGCTGCCTT